AATTGCGTATGTCCAGGACCTACAAATCCCTTTTCCGCAAGCTGTGCTGTTCTGATGTGATCCGTGGTTCTGCTGAAATATATTATAAGCACATGAATGACAATCAATAAACTTTAATATATATATATAATGATATATATTCTAACATATAGTTATGTAGTAATTTGTTGTAAGGAAATATTGTCTTTTATTTCCAGTGTTGTTTTCCCTGTATTTAAACGTATATATTAGTATTTTATACTTAGATATTCACATATTTACATATCTACAAAAAGAACATTGAACAATCGAACTATCAATATAGAGTAGTTAATCGTGAACTTCAATTACGAACTTTCGCTAAAGTAGGAGATAATGAGTTAAATAGTTTCTCATCCTTTTGAACAATATCAGCTCTGTCCATAGCATGCTTAAATAGTAACTTCCAAGAATTTGTAAAACTTCGATTTTGACCTTGAATAAATTTGTTACAATCTGTTCTTATCAGCTTAATTTATCAAGACCTTGGCAAGAAGACGCAAGAAAAGAGAGGCAGCAGCAGAATCCTGACGTTTGGCAACCTTGAAGCAAGACCTTGGCCAAGACGAAGACGGTAGAAGAGTTCGAGTTCGGGGTTGGCTTACTCTCTAAGGGAGTATGTACAAGCCGAAGGCCTCCCAGGCTTCAGGCTTTGTGCATATGACCGGCGAGGGTGGCCATAACCGCAACTGGGCATGCGGGTGCAAGCCAGGAGTCCTTGGCCCACCTGTATCGCCTATCCCTCCCATGCTGCGATCCACCATCGAGCAGCTCGGCTATGGCCCACCCCTGTCGTGGAAATTAGAACAAGATTCCCTCCTGACGAAGCTAGCACTGAAATGGACAATGAATACCGGACAACCCTCGAACACGTTAGCAATGTTTCCTCCTCCTCTGATGACCGCCATCGCCTCGTTGCAATCCTCGCCTGCCTCTTGGTCTTTGGAACAAGTTAACAACCACCTCCTCTGCTGTTTAACCTGGACCTTTACACCTCCATCTCCTCCGTCTACAGCCACAGCCTCGACGCTCAACGACTCCGGCTATCTCTCCTCGCCTGAATCTCCTGCATCTCCCACCCGAACGAACACTCCAGACCTTTCACCACTACGCCTCGATTTCCCATCTCCAACCGTCGACAGCCTGAAGCCATCCACGAACCTTAATAAACAAACACAGGATGCCTCCACTGCCACCACCGCCGAGATGACCGCCACAACCTCCTCACAAACTTCTCCACCAACCGCCATGGAAGCCAGTGCCCAGACATCCACGAACCCTAACAAACAAACCCAGGATGCCTCCACCGACCCCATCGCAGTTACCCTCGATACATCTTCCGCCTCCTGCCAAACCTCAACTCCAGCTACTTTGGGCATTGGTGTCCAGACATCCACATTTACCCCAAACACATACCAGGATGCTGCCACCTTGACCACCGGACCTGTTGTTGTTACCTCCAGCTCTCAAACCCTCCAACCAGTCTCCAAAGATTCCACCACGCAAACCCTCACCGCAGATCCTGCACCTACCACCAATTCCACCAGTACCCAAGCTTCCTACACATTCATCCCAGCCTATGAACCACCAGCCACCAATAACTCCACCACCACCGCGAGAAAGAAGAAAAAGAAAGGAAAACCCGCTCCAGTATCCTCCACCGATGTTGCCACAGAGTACGACCCACCTACCACTCAATACCGCCACTGTCGCCTCTGCCACAACCCGAACTTTGACGATACCAGAGCAATCGCCCACCTCCTCACGTGTGATGACCTCCCACGACACCTGCTACACTACCGCACCACCTTCTTCCAGCAACAGTCCCAAATCACCGGCATCCCGATTGAATCCCTCCAAACCCAAACCGCCTTATTCCTCACTACCCACCGGATCGACAACCCAGACCCTGATGACACTCATTCCACCAAAGACTACCTCATCGGACAACTCTTCCTAAGCGCCCTACCAGAATTCCAACAAGTCGAGCACTACCACGCCACCCTGTGCAAATTCACACACCACCTTGTCAGCGCAACCCTAAAACACGTCCACCTCGATCCCACAGCAGACCACCAGCAGCTATTTTACCTTCACGGCGTTGACCCCCTCCATGACGATGATGAACCCGACCATCCCCACCACCCGTTTGACCTCCTCGACCTTTATCCCGACGACGAATCCCACTACGATGACGATGATGAATGCTATGGCTATGATGATGAATTTTAAATCCAGGGGCTATGCTTCGGCATAGTCCCTTCCTCAACTAGGTCTTTATGCAGTGCACTAGGCACACAAGTTTTTTAATTTTCATTCAGACACTGAATCTTTTTTATGTTTTTCCCCCCTTTTTAAACGCACACATGCCCAAGCCGCTCTGGCACATGCCGCACCTAGGTACTCGTCCATGAGAAAATCCCCGCTCATGAGTCGACATTTCAAATTGCATGCAAATCCAAAATGAGTCAGCCACATGTTAGGTTTTATATATATCTCTTAAGTTCAACTTAAGGCACCAAGAGCAAAAAATAAGCTCAAATCAGTTTAAGTTTAAGACATAGGACCACATGCGTGAGATAAACGCACTAGCTAGACCCCTCAGAAGGACCCCATCACTTTTCGTGCATCTTTAGATAAGAAACTCTGTTCTTATCAGCTTAATATCTGATATGTTAGGCAATGCCTAACTCATATATTAAACTGATTTTTGGACTTCGGCCATGGGATTGAAGCTTGCTTCGCCCTGGCCACGGGTTGTCTCGGTATTGCACTACATCCGAGTACGGCCCCTTCCCCACACGGGGAAGAACATTTTTTTTTTATTTCAAATCAAACTACAAAGCAATCTCTAGTTTATTAGACGACTACACACACTTAAGTACTTTTCACATGCCGATAGATTTATACTAACACCATACTCGAATACCACGTGAAATAATATATCTCGGCTTTCTCATGCATATATAACATACATATCATATGACTTGCAACATTTTACTATTATCCTATGTCGATATTTTACACCTTGTGAGCGTGTTTTCATTCGGCTATGAACCGAATCAACTACATCTAATTTTACTAACATACTTTTTCATTCTCTAGATCGCGGCACATGACGTTCAAGACAAGAGGGAAACCCCCCAAGTACCACAATCGCGTGTCATCATCATCGCGTATATAAGGTGAGCGGCGCAAACAACAGCATACTTACCTGACGCGAGAGGCACCTTGATCAACTAGGAGGTCCTCTCAGGATGAGGCCCTTTCATTGCACTTCGACTGGGTTGACTCCTGCGATTACCCCTAATGTGGGTAACTCAAGCGTATAATTTCTGGTAGTGGGGACCTGCGTTCGCGCTCGTCCCCTTCAACATATAATATTCATGTGTAAATGTGTAAAGCCGTGTACGTTTTTCCTAACACGGCCGTGTGTCGATTGTTTTTGTATTATAGAATCGGATGTCAAACGTATCATTTATCACACAATACACTCTATATATATTCTCCGTGCCGAAATCTCCATCTCGTGTTCATATTATATGGTAAGTAAAGCTATACACGTTTATATTTTGTAAGCACTTCGAGTCTTTGCACACTATTCAATCGATTCGCTGTATAAA